ATATATATATATATATATATAACATATTTATCTAATTTATCTTTTTTCTATACATCAGGTCAAATTTGTTATGTTTGATACTTCTCACAATCACACAACCATAAAAAAAATTTAATCCAATACAAATTACATTATTAAAATATCCAAAATATTATAGGCGCATTTTGGTTATTTACTATTTTTAATTATTTTTAAATATTGTCAATAGCCATGTAATGTTAAAAAATATAAACACACCAAACTTGAGCTTAACCTAATGTAAAAAAAACAAAGAGGTTAAAACTGAAAACAAGTGAAGCTTAAGTTTAAAATATGATATAAATAAGACCATTTTTAACTAAAAAAGTAAAAAAAAGTTTTTCTATAAATTTTTCAAAATTTTATTTTTCATTTGTGTAAAGACAATCTAAGAATTATGAGGACTTTAAACTTACCCTTATCCCGTTTCAAACCTAGATGAAAGAGGTGGATGGTGTCGTATAGACAACCAACAATAAAATTTTATCAAAACTTTCATGAATATGAAAATAATGCTATCTGCTTATGCTAAAGCATTCCGTATAAATAAAAGACTTGACGACTTATGGCTTCCCTAAAGTATGGCCCTCGATAAAGGGGAATGGCGAACTGAGATTTGTATAGCCGATCCCAATTAATTAAAAAAAGACCATGATGATGTTTGTACAAAAATTATGTTGCTACTCATAAAGTTGTAAGAAAAAGATCTAGCGCTGATGCACCACTAAATACAAATATATATGTTTTCTTTACATCAAAAGCATTTGCAGCTCCGTTGCCTTGCTAATACTGAACCGTCGTAAATTACCCAGGTAGGCTGTAAACACGTCCGAGGATTCACCCTCCCTAAGTCTTAACTTGCAGATGGATTTTGGGTCCAAAGCTTTGTACGTTCATTGTTGGTTAAATTACAGCAATCATGAAAATAAATTTTTGAAAGTAATCTATTTTATACTTTTAAACATTTGTTTTAGTTATTTGAAGAACATCCAACTTGTGCACTATTTTCTTGAAGTCCATTCAAAATCATCGGCATCATCATCGTTCAAACCTTATCCCATTCATAAATATGAGGCGATAATATATTTCACAATAATTGACTAAGTTTTGGATTCAAGCTACTCACACTTGTTAAAACCTTATCCCATTCATAAATATGAGGCGACAATATATTTCACAATAATTGACTAAGTTTTGGATTCAAGCTACTCACACTTGTTTTTTAGGAACATTTAAGGGTTTGGTTTGGTTCATTGAAAACTCTTTCTCCTCCATAGAGATTTCGAAAAAATCAGCTTCATAGCTACTAGAATACGAAGCCAATTTTCCATTGACACCAGTTTCTCACATTTTGTAGAGGAGCATGTCTCGCGGATTTCTTAGAGAATGATTTCACATTACCCGCATGATGAGACCAAGAGGCTTGGTGAACAGAATTCTCTTTCCTGGAAAAAGCTCTCTTGGAAACCAAATATGCCGTTAAAAGAGAGTTGTCGACCTAATACCTATTTTGCACAGGACAACACCGATAGGGCAGGTACTAGCCCTAGGCTGGGTCAGTCCTGGCTAGCCCAGTCCTAGTCCATATAGGACCGGTCCAACCTTCGGTCCAGCCTTAGGGGTGACAAAAGACCCGGGCCTCACATGGGACCCGACTAGTAGATCCGATACGGCTTTGAGCATAGGTACAAAAATTGGACCTGACAAAAGATCTGGATCCAAATTTTGGATCTAATCACTATCTAAGTCCCAGTACCGTAATATTTTTCAAACCCAACATATTAAATATATTTAAATATATAAATATTTTAATTTTTGTGGCAGCCCATCGACATGGGTAGCCCAAGCTCAAAATTTTAGGGCCATGCAGGGCTGTTGGGACCCACCCAGATGGGATGGGGCTCCAGTTAAACATTAAGAAAAAAAAGTTATTTTTTCAGTTAAAAAAATAAAAAATTATCAAAATATTTAGAAGATTTCATCGCCTTACCTATATTTCCTATTTTATTTTCAAAATACCCATAAATTTCCAAATTAAAAAAAATGTTAATACTTGCCTCTGATAGGTATTTTGATACATTTCCCAAAAAAATAAAAAATACAAGAGAAAATCAAATAAACGACAGAGAGACAGTGAGAGAGGCATATATACAGGTCTGATCACATTCCAAGCTTCTGATCTCACAGAAAATTCATTCATAAAATAGCATACAAATCCCTTAATATGTTCTTCAATAATCCAAATTAAAAAAAAAATGAAAAAAGGCCAATAATAATAATAATAATAATAAACTAAAAACTAACAGCAGCAAGTGAGGACATCCAGGCAGCATTCACATGTCTCGTAACAGCAAAAGCAGCAGCACAGTGCAAAAAGACTGCAACCAAAAAACAAAAAGAGAGAAAAATAAATAAGCCAAATAATTAAAGCAAATTTTGGAATATCCAAATAAAAAACTCCAAAAAAGGCCCGCATATACTACAAGAAAAAAATCCTAATAGTCTGAATAAAAAGCTAATGAAAATTTGTTGCTAATAATCCTCTAATTTTCTAAAAAAAATTCAAACGTATCTAATTTTCTTATTCATTAAGTGTGCACCAATTTTTTGTCTCTTTTTTAATGCCGTTTAGAGGACTGAAAATAACGAAGTGGGGGAAATTCACATGAATTAGCAATGTTTTCAATATCGGTTCGGGCTTGGACTCGGCCCTGCCCTGATCTGACCGACTCACCGAGCCTCTACAGGATAAAACAAGCTAAAAAACATATTGAAAAAATTTGTTAAAAAAAAAAAGAGAAACTATTGAAGTCTATAAAAATCTAACAAAGATGGTTATTGGAAAATTTTGATTTATGCCTAGAAATAATTTTAAAAATGTAATAAATTAAAAATCACCAAATTAAATAAATAATATACTTTTAGATTTATGATTGAAGACTTTCTATAAATTTTTTATTCAGAAAATGCACAAGTTACAATCAAGATGAATTAAATCAGTAAATTGGCAATAGTTCGACAAAAGGAAATAGATTGGTGAGATTACAATTATCAGGGAGTTCAAATAAAATTTAGGGAAACATGAAATCCCCACATAAAAAGATTGCGAAGAGTCCATAAACATCACAAAATAAAAAAATCTTTCAAAGTTTTAAGATAAGGAAAACCACAAACATATATAGAAAATAAATAGAATAAATTTCCCCAAAAATAAATAAATAGAAGAAAATAAATATAAATAATTTTTTTTTAAGAAGAATAGACTGACCACGCATGGAGGCAGCCTTTCTCCTCATGGCGACGCTGCACGTGCTCATAGTAACCCATTTCTTGGTAGCTCGGAGGAGCATACATCTTGCAAGGGGCAAAATGGTTTTTTGACAGGGGTAAAATAGTAAAAACACGATCAGGGGCAGAGTAATAAAATGGGCTTCTGCTCATGCAGGAGCGAGTGAGGCTGAGTGAGGCTTTTATAAGCGGGTTTACCGACACGTGTCATTGGGTGATGTATTGTTGAATCTTTGATAGACACCTGGCAGTTGTGATGGGCTTCCTTAATCTGTAAGGTTTAGGAGTCAACGGCGGAATAGTCAAAGTTTCGGGTTTATTGCGGCCAAATTAAGATGAGTTTCGGTGGATGTGGAATTTCGGACAAGCCGGAAAACGACTTTATGCTCCTGCAGGTGTATGCGCCCTCGGTTAAAGACCAATTTTATATGGGGACCCATACTATGAGACTTTGTATCTTTGTTACGATGGAGACGCATATATACTAGCCACTGGTTGTTAAATTGGATGGCTTAGAATGTGTTATAAAGTTATATATATATACATATATATTTCGAGTATGAAATCTAGTCAATGACACACTTACAACCATCCAATTTGAAACTTTGACAGAAAAAAATAATTGTCAATCACCTTTATACTAAAAGTAAAAGATCGTATACCTTACCTTTATGTAATTCTTGTAGACTTCATATACTGAGTGATGTAACCTCCCCTAGCTTAACGAGTGACCTTAAAAAATAAAAATAATAAGGACCTAAAAAAGTAACCCCTTTCAAGCTCGTACACCATTGACATATGCTTTTCAAAACTCAAACACCAAATGTTTAGTGTGAAAATAATTATGAGTGCATATATTTTGCTCTTATAGGAATATACACCTACTCCTTATGATAAAAGACCTACTTGAGAGGATTTTTCAAACTCGAATGATAGGAACCACCTAAAAATTATTAAATAATTATTTAAAAATAAAATTTTGAATTTTGTGTTCTATAACACGCTACATCTCACTTTTAAAAAAGATGGATGTTCTCTATTCAATCTTGGGACATTATTCCTTTTACAGCGCATGGTGAGGACAATTTGGATATATGGGTCAGAATCTCAAACTTTGGGGTCCTAAAATTACCCCTAGATCCGTTATTGTGCGAGAGATTATATGAACAGTATACTTCTATATAATCCTATGGGAGCATCTTTTGGCAATAATTTTGACAAGAAAAATAAAATTAATTCTAAAATATGCTATAGTCCAAGAGATTATATGAACAGTATACTCCTATATAATCCTATGAGAGCACCCTTTGGCGATAATTTTCACAAGAAAGAAAAAAACACAAGTTAATTCTGAAGCTTATCAACGGGCACAACTAAGCAGGTCTTCTACACGAGATACACGTTGGAGGACATTATGGTGCCAGCTAAATGTGATGGTGCCGTTGTTGGCGTACGGATGCATCCGGAGCTATAGAGGTAAGGTGCACTTTCAAATTTTATCATGGTATAAAAATAGCTATAGAGGTAAGGTGCACTTTCAAATTTTATCATGGTATATAATTTTTATGTAAAATGTTTTTACGATTATCTCAACATCTATTTTTATTTTTAATTATAAAACTTTAAATTTAAAAAATCAAGTAGATCTATAAACCTATGAAAATCTTGAAAATAAACGGTATAAATAATATGTTGTAAAATACACTATTTTTTAGGTTTAAAATCTTTTTATTTTTTATGGTCATACATCTCGATGTCGAGATGATCAAAGGTTTTTCAACATCAAAACTACCTTTTCCGATGAATTTTTGAAGTGCACCGATAGTTCTACATTATAAGGTTCATCATTATATAGACTTTTTCTTTTTATTAACTTGACACTATGATTTTGGTCTTGTAATCAGAGTGTTATTTTTAGGACAAAGTTTCTATAAGACCTAGGCTTTATGAAAACAAAATAAAACCTCATATTACATCCTTGTCCAGAGAGCATTTAGAGTAACAGAAATTTTCAGGATAGCTCAAAAATTATTTTACAACATTGAGAATATTTTTTTGACAATAAAATTATTTTCAACATCGACAATAAAACTTGAAACTCAAAAACTAGTACAAACCTTACATATCTTTGAACATTTATTTCTAGCATAAAATGGATGGTCTAGATAATTTGTTACAATATATGCTAGTTTTAGAGCTTAAAATTCTAATTTCTTTTCACAGTCATAATTTTCAAGCTGAGCGGATCAATGTAAAGGTTTTCCAATGCTTTAATTGAAATTTCAATGAGTTATGAGGTGAGATTTTACTTATTTTGAAAGGGCTGGAGCCCTATCAAATCATTTTCATACAATTAAATTTATGCTCTGTTGACAAAAAATGGTTTATTTGAAGTCATTACTATAGTTGATAATTAGTATAATTAATATAGTAATGGCTATATATAGTAACGATCGCATGAGACCCTCTCACACCCATGTGTGTAGGATCCCACGGAACCAGCATTAAATTTAGTACAGATATCTAGAAAAGTCAAGTCCTGCATGTGATAACATTTTTAGAAACACAAGAGAGAGAATGTATAAGAGAGAGATAAAAAGCATATTTTAAGGAAAGGGAGAAAAAGCAATTTATATCTCATATTTTCAACTAATTTGAGAGAGAGAGAGAGAGCACCTGTAAGAGTGAGAGCATATTGAGATTGAGAGAGAGAGAGAGAGAAAGATAATATTTTAGAGAAAGAGAGAGCAATCTATATCACAACTTTTCAACTAATTTGAGAGAGAAGAGAGCAGTATATGAGAGAGAGCATATTTTAGGGAAAGAGAGAGAGAGCAATCTATATCTCATCTACATGGGAAGAAAGAAGAGAGAGAGAGAATACACATAAATTTTATGGGGTGATATTTATATGATATATTTTCTATCTTTTTAACTAATTTGAGAGAGAGAGAAAGAGCATATTTTAGGGAAAAAAGAGAGAGAAATCTATATTGGGAAAGCTTTCAATGTTCTCCTTACAACATAGAAGTTCTATCCTCCCTTTATCCCTCCATTTTTTAATAGAGGTCTAAGATTTGCCCCAATTACATTGTCACATCTCTACACTATTCTATTTTTAATTATTTTTCTATAAATACCAAATTTTGGACGTCCATTCCTCTATTAAACAGACACTAACAAAAAATATAGAAAAAATATTTCCAATAAAAATAAAATGATCAAAATACCCCTGAAAGATTTAAGGGGTATTTTGGTCATTATTTTTTATTGAAAAATTATTGTTAATATTTTTTATAGGTGTGTCCCAATGAGAAGATGGCACGTACCAAATTTCATATTAAGAAAATTTGTATTAAAAAAACTAAAAATAAAATTCTTTGAGACGTCGGATCTAAGATCAAACGGTGAGTGGCTCTCTTGATAAAAAATAGACGGCTGGATGGTATGGGGAAGATAGGATTTCTATGTTGTAGGGAGAATATAGAAAGCTTTCCCATCTATATTTCATCTATATCTTAAAATCTATACGTACTATTTCTTAACCTAAAATATCTCTATCATGCTTTAGAAATCTTATAAATAGGTTAGGAAGCCTTCATGTGCCCCTCTCAACCTCTCAAAATAGGTATGCTATTTTTTATTTTTCATGCAACAAGGTGTGCTTCGTTTCTCTCTCTCCCCCTCTTTCTGTTTATGCCTGAGATTCATCAATTTGTTAATTATGTTTATGCACGAGTTTCATCAATTTATGTATTTATGAGTTTTTGTTTGTTATTTGATTTAAGGAAGTTTGTTTGTTATTTGATTTAAGGAAGTTATGGCCTTTTAGTTTGATAGTTATTGTATATTGTTCAGGTTATTCTTCTAGTTTTTGGTAAAAGAATCTTAGAATTTTGTTCATGGATTAATTGAGAAACCCATCTAATTTTTTTTAACGGTTATTATATACTCTTTTTCTCACTTTATATATATATATATATATATGAGGTGCTCGCATTCATTCTGTTTTTTGTGAGAATTTATATGGGTGTCATATCTACCTTTTTAAGATAATATGGTTAGTCAAACCTTTCCCAGCATATTCCTTCTTGATTGGAGACTCTCTACAATTTATTAGAAACGGCTAAAATCTTTTTATATATGTCTCATGAAAAGTTGATATGATAATAATCTTTCCATATATTTCCCTCTTTGATGGGAAATGCCTATGATGTGGTTGATAGAGAAAAAGAAAGAGGTATATGAGATAGATGCAAAGTTTAGGTGCATTTAATTGTTTAGATGGTTTAGAAGATGGGTTTAGATGGTTTAGAAGAGGATGTAGTTACATGGTGTTCGTAGGAGAGAATAGATACTCTTTCTTAAAATGATGGTTGATAGAGAAAAAGATGGAGAGGGAGTACGCACAACATAGAGAGAGAATGATTGAGCGATTTTAGGAGACCCACAAGAGAGAGAATGAGAAGATCTTCTATCAAGAATTTAGTAAGATGGAATTTAGTAGGACGTGGATGATAGAGATTAAAATGGAGGGAGAGTACGCAAAAGATAGAGAGAGAGTGAGAGATTTTAGGAAATCTCCTAATGTGCAAGCTTCCTTTTTTAAATGTATTTTTTAATTTTCTTTTCAAATATCTAATTTTTTTGGAATGAGTATAGAGATCCGTGTGTCTCTCTTATCCGTTCCAACTGATCTTAGACTTAAGATAGTGATGCATACTAAATTATGAAATTATGGGTTTGGATCATGACTTTTATATATATATATATATATATGAAGCCATAGTAAAAGAGGTGAAAATAGAAAGTGATCCTACCGATTGTAGGAGACATTCTCACCTTTAAGGGAAAAGATTATCCCAACGGAATAAGAAGGCACCCTAATTTTGTAGAGATTGTTTTACACATTCCAAACTTTAGAAAAGGTGGATAGAATTAGCACTTATTTTAGGAGAGAGAGTATGAGTATACACAAGAGAGAGATATCTTAATATTATTTTCTTATTTCCATGTTATTTTTATATCTTAATTAGAGAGGGAGGGAAAGAGAATATGAGTGCACACAAGAGATAGAGATCTCAATATTGTGAGAGAATTTGAGAAGGAGAGAGAGCATGCCCAATAGATAGAGAATGACAGATTTCATAAGAGAGA